AGCTTCTTTTCCTCTGTTTCGAGGACCAGTTTCTGGTACTCTTTTTCGGACTGTTGTTCGGAAAGGGTCGGGAAGGTTGACTGGAACAACGTCCTGGTCAAGTCGTTCAAGGTGCCACTGATAACTTCGGAGGTGTCAACGACATCGTGGTGATTTGATGCCCTTGATGTCTCCAATGCGGTCGTGGATGTTAATACCTTCGTGCTCGTCGTGGGGGGCAAATCGCTTTTTACCACTGCTTTTTCTTGCGATGTACAACTAGTGGCGCCGGCGCTGACCGTGGTTGTTGATGCGACACCTCCTGGGTCTTTATTTTTCCTTTTTTTCCCCACCATCAGGAAGACTTCGATCGTGCTGAAACAGAGACAGAAGACGAGATTCCGGCACTCATCCCGCACGAGCGAATTGATGCAGGGTCCGTTGCGTCCCTCCACCAGCCGCACGCCCAAGCTTTTCAGGTTCGTGCTGATTTGTCTGCGGAGGGAACAGGCTGGTGACATTCTTGATGTCGTGGTCCTCTCTGTCTGTTTCCTACCATTTTCCTCCGCAACAGCGTTCCAATTTTCCTCTGGAACCGGTTGATGTATCTCTGTGTTCATCCGGATTTTCTCCATTATGATTTTCGAGTCCTGAATCGACTGCTCCCACGTTTTGTCAATCACTTGCACGGCATCGCGGTCGAGTATAACATCCTGCCCATACTGTTCATCGTCTTTCTTTTTCAGAGTCCGCAGCGCAGCCAGGGTCTCCGGGCGCTGCACCGCTAGGAAACGCGCCGCGGCAGGGTCGTCACCGTTCAGAAGAATTTCCGGTCCGAACAGGCACTTATTATCTCGCAGATTTTATGCAGTCACGGCGGAAGGATCACCCGATGGATGATCGCTCGATGGGAGCATCTCCCACTGCGTCGCACGAGGAGGCGCCCTGGAAGCACCTACCCCCGCCGTGGGAGATATCTTGCGACCTCTGTCCTACCCCAACACAGATTGGAGCGGCGCGAGGCCCAGCGACCCATCCGAAGTAACTACCGACCCAGACCACTGGCTCATCTCGTAAAACTAACCGGGAGGGCGGGTGGGCAAATAAACTTCAACCCAGAACGGGAAGAGGCTCGCCCTCACAGTCATCAGGTCCCGGCTACCGGAAAAGGGCGAGGCTCGGACAGACATAAAATATCGCCCGTCCAGCCTCAGCCTAGGCTCACAGGCTCGCTAGCCTGCTACTGCCCGGGCATGCATTT